GAGTCCAAATTGCACAATAAGGTGGATTTGCACTCCAAATGTCTTGTAATGTTGGTGGACATGTGATTCAATGATTGGTTTAGTTATGTAAATACATAAAAAGCTTAATTGTGTCATAATGACAAGATGTGCACGAGTACGAACTCTTAGTACCGAGTCCAAATTGCACCATAAGGTGGATTACACAGTCCAAATGTCTTGTAATGTTGATGGACATGTGTTTCAATGATTGGTTTAGTCATATGAACACATAAACCGCTTAATTGTGTCATAATGACAAGATTTGCACGAGTACGAACTCTTAGTACCGAGTCCAAAATGCACAATAAGGTGGATTTGCACTCCAAATGTCTTGTAATGTTGGTGGACATGTGATTCTTTGATTGGTTTAGTCATGTATATTCATAAAAAGCTTAATTGTTTCATAATGACAAGATGTGCACGAGTACGAACTCTTAGTACCGAGTCCAAATTGCACAATAAGGAGGATTGCGCACTCCAAATGTCTTGTAATGTTGATGGACATGTGATTCAATGATTATTTTAGTCATATAAACACATAAACCGCTTAATTGTGTCATAATGACAAGATGTGCACGAGTACAAACTCTTAGTACCGAGTCCAAATAGCACAAAATGGTAAATTTCCACTCCAAATGACTTGTAATCCTGATGGGCATGTGATTCAATGATTAGTTTAATCATTTAATCACATAAATAGCTTAATTGTGTCATAATGACAAGATGTGCACGAGTACGAACTCTTCGTACGTAGTTCAAATTGCACAATAAGGTGGATTTGCACTCAAAATGTTGATGGACATGTGATTCAATGATTGGTTTATTCATATAAACACATAAACCGCTTAATTGTGTCATAATGACAAGAAGTGAACGAATACAAACTCTTAGGAACGAGTCCAAATAGTACAATAAGGTGGATTTGCACTCCAAATGTCTTGTAATGTTGATGGACATGTGATTCAATGATTCCTCTTAATTGTGTCATAATGACAAGATGTGCACGAGTACGAACTCTTAGTACCGAGTCGAAATTGCATAATAAGGTGGATTTGCACTCCAAATGTCTTGTAATTTTGGTGGACATGTGATTCTTTGATTGGTTTAGTCATGTAAATACATAAAAAGCATAATTGTGTCATAATGACAAGATGTGCACGAGTACAAACTCTTAGTACCGAGTCCATATTGCACGATAAGGTGGATTACACACTCCAAATGTCTTGTAATTTTAATGGACATGTGATTCAATGATTATTTTAGTCATATAAACACATAAACCGCTTAATTGTGTCATAATGATAAGATGTGCACGAGTACAAACTCTTAGTACCGAGTCCAAATAGCACAAAATGGTGGATTTCCACTCCAAATGACTTGTAATGTTGATGGACATGTGATTCAATGATTAGTTTAGTCATTTAATCACATAAACAGCTTAATTGTGTCATAATGACAAGATGTGCACGAGTACGAACTCTTAGTACGTAGTTCAAATTGCACAATAAGGTGGATTTGCACTCAAAATGTTGATGGACATGTGATTCAATGATTGGTTTATTCATCTAAACACATAAACCGCTTAATTGTGTCACAATGAAAATAAGTGAACGAGTACGAACTCTTAGTAACGAGTCCAAATTAAGCAATAAGGTGGATTTGCACTCCAAACGTCTTGTAATCTTGGTGCACATGTGATTCTTTGATTGTTTTAGCCATGTAAATACATAAAAAGCTTAATTGTGTCATAATAACAAGATGTGCACGAGTACAAACTCTTAGTACCGAGTCCAAATTGCACAATAATGTGGATTACGCACTCCAAATGTCTTGTAATGTTGATGGACATGTGATTCAATGATTGTTTTAGTCATATAAACACATAAACCGCTTAATTGTATCATCATAATGACAAGATGTGCACGAGTACGAACTGTTAGTACCGGGTCCAAATTGCACAATAAGGTGGATATGCACTCCAAATGTCTTGTAATGTTGGTGGACATGTGATTCTTTGATTGGTTTAGTCATGTAAATTCATAAAAAGCTTAATTGTGTCATAATGACAAGATGTGCACGAGTACGAACTCTTAGTACCGAGTCGAAATTGCTCAATAAGGTGTATTTGCACTCCAAATGTCTTGTAATTTTGGTGGACATGTGATTCTTTGATTGGTTTAGTCATGTAAATACATAAAAAGCTTAATTGTGTCATAATGACAAGATGTGCACGAGTACGAACTCTTAGTACCAAGTCAAAATTGCACAATAATGTGGATTACGCACTCCAAATGTCTTGTAATGTTGATGGACATGTGAATCAATGATTGTTTTATTCTTATAAACACATAAACCGCTTAATTGTATCATCATAATGACAAGATGTGCACGAGTACGAACTCTTAGTACCGAGTCCAAATTGCGCAATGAGGTGGATTTGCACTCCAAATGTCTTGTAATTTTGGTGGACATGTGATTCTTTGATTATTTTAGCCATGTAAATACATAAAAAGCTTAATTGTGTCATAATGACAAGATGTGCACGAGTACAAACTCTTAGTACCGTGTCCAAATTGCACAATAATGTGGATTATGCACTCCAAATGTCTTGTAATGTTGATGGACATGTGATTCAATGATTGTTTTAGTAATATAAACACATAAACCGCTTAATTGTGTCATAATGATAAGATTTGCACGCGTACGAACTCTTAGTACCGAGTCCAAATTGCACAATAAGGTGGATATGCACTCCAAATGTCTTGGAATTTTGGTGGATATGTGATTCTTTGATTGGTTTAGTCATGTAAATACATAAAAAGCTTAACTGTGTCATAATGACAAGAAGTGAACGAATACGAACTCTTAGTAAAGAGTCCAAATAGTACAATAAAGTGGATTTGCACTCCAAATGTCTTGTAATGTTGATGGACATGTGATTCAATGATTGGTTTAGTCATATAAACACATAAACCGCTTAATTGTGTCATAATGACAAGATGTGCACGAGTACGAACTCTTAGTACCGAGTCCAAATTGCACAATAAGGTGGATTTGCACTCCAAATGTCTTGTAATTTTGGTGGATATGTGATTCTTTGATTGGTTTAGTCCTGTAAATACATAAAAAGCTCAATTGTGTCATACTGACAAGATGTGCACGAGTTCGAACTCTTAGTACCGAGTTCAAATTGCACAATAATGTCGATTACGCACTCCAAATGTCTTGTAATGTTGATGGACATGTGATTCAATGATTGTTTTAGTCATATAAACACATAAACCGCTTAAATGTGTCATAATGACAAGATGTGCACGAGTACGAACTCTTAGTACCGAGTCCAAATTTCACAATAAGGTGGATTTGCACTCCAAATGTCCTGTAATGTTGATAGACATGTGATTCTTTGATTGGTTTAGTCATATAAACATATAAGCCGGTTAATTGTGTCATAATGATAAGATGTGCACGAGTACGAACTCTTAGTACCGAGTCCAAATTTCAAAATAAGGTGGATTTGCACTCCAAATGTCTTGTAATGTTGATAGACATGTGATTCTTTGATTGGTTTAGTCATATAAACACATAAACCGCTTAATTGTGTCATAATGATAAGATGTGCACGAGTACGAACTCTTAGTACCGAGTCCAAATTGCACAATAAGGTGGATTACGCACTCCAAATGTCTTGTAATGTAGATGGACATGTGATTCAATGATTGGTTTAGTCATATAAACACATAAACCGCTTAATTGTGTCATAATGACAAGATGTGCACGAGTACGAACGCTTAGTACCGAGTCCAAATTGCACAAAAAGGTGGATTTCCACTCCAAATGACTTGTAATGTTGATGGACATGTGATTCAATGATTAGTTTAGTCATTTAATCACATAAACCGCTTAATTGTGTCATAATGACAAGATGTGCACGAGTACGAACTCTTAGTACCGAGTCCAAATTGCACAATATGGTGGATTTGCACTCCAAATGTCTTGTAATATTGGTGGACATGTAATTCTTTGATTGATTTAGTCATGTATATTCATAAAAAGCTTAATTGTTTCATAATGACAAGATGTGCACGAGTACGAACTCTTAGTACCGAGTCCAAATTGCACAATAATGTGGATTACGCACTCCAAATGTCTTGTAATGTTGATGGATATGTTATTCAATGATTATTTTAGTCATATAAACACATAAACTGCTTAATTGTGTCATAATGACAAGATGTGCACGAGTACGAACTCTTAGTACCGAGTCCAAATTGCACAATAATGTGGATTACGCACTCCAAATGTCTTGTAATGTTGATGGATATGTTATTCAATGATTATTTTAGTCATATAAACACATAAACCGCTTAATTGTGTCATAATGACAAGATGTGCACGAGTACGAACTCTTAGTACCGAGTCCAAATTGCACAAAATGGTGGATTTCCACTCCAAAAGACTTGTAATGTTGATGGACATGTGATTCAATGATTAGTTTAGTCATTTAATCACATAAACAGCTTAATTTTGTCATAATGACAAGATGTGCACGAGTACGAACTCTTAGTACGTAGTTCAAATTGCACAATAAGGTGGATTTGCACTCAAAATGTTGATGGACATGTGATTCAATGATTGGTTTATTCATATAAACACATAAACCGCTTAATTGTGTCATAATGACAAGAAGTGAACGAATACTGAAACGTCCCGACCTTTTTCGAAAATCAAACCACAACTCAAACCCAAAACCGGTTACTCCGGAGCAACCCAAACCACATTTTAAAATAACAAACTTACTTTGTTTAATAATTTTAAATCAAAAACCCCCAACACTTGGGCAAAATCTCAATCTCAAACACTTAAAACAACTTAACCCAGAATCTTGAACCTTAAACCTCCAGTACATATATACTCATAATCATAAACATAAAATAACTATCAAACTTTAACTATACTCTTCACCCAGCTCCTTGACAACTCATCATCGGTACTGGCACGACCGCTTGCCTCATCTTACTTCTTCTCGGAATCCACCTCTACTAACCCTTCCTCAACCTGATGAGTGAGAAGGGGTCAGTCTCGTCGTTACTTCCTAAGGTCTTTGCCCTAGGTAAACCCTTACTAAACACATTATTAGCAGGTTCCCTCTCTTGGACGAAAGCCGTTTTCGCTTTCATCCCTTAATAACTCATTTTAACTTTAACTCATAGAAGTTCTCAACTTTTATCCTTAAATCATAGAAGTTCTCTACTTCTATCCTTAACTAATAGACATCAATACCAGGGACCACCGTGTTACGTATCGCCGTCCGGTGTCCCTATCCTCAAGGCAATGGTATTGCGTTACGTATCGCCGTCCAGTCCATGCCCGGTCAACTACTGCGTTACGTATCGCCGTCCAGTAGTGACCCGACCATCTACCGCGTCCAGTAGTGGCCCAACCGCCCGGGGGTTCAATTACCATCATCCATACATCACAAACACATACATACATAGCACAACGCGTGCCTCCACCTTAAGTAGGCGGTGGGATGCCTCACATACATAATCGCGCTTACTTGAAAATAACAAATATAACTGAGTTAAAAAGGCATAAACTAAAAGATCTCGACGGAGATTTTACCCCCTTTACACTCACCTTAATCGAGTGGATTGACTTGATCTAACCACCAACTAATTGTCCATGAAAAAGCGTCCACCTTGTGTTAATTCCTACTTCACATGCCATGCGACTCCTCCTCCTCGCACGTAGCACTTAACTGAAATTGTCCATGTCGTTGCATGTGTTAATTATAATCCATGTTTTACTGGGTGGCGTTTCCACACCCAACAGCCACATTAAACCCTCCCCTTCCTAATGGGGTGAGCTACTATTCCTAGGACCCGTGAAATTCCATCAGCCATTTGCCTTCCTGATATCTCCTTCAATTCTTGCAATTCGTCACATAAGTCAACTAAACCAATGATTAATACAATTCCAAGCACATGTATCCAGTTTCATCATGAATTAAGAACTCATTCCATATTGGTTACCAAACAAATGCAGGCTCCCTAATAAGTGATAACCAAGTCACCACTCTTATTCATGAAAAGACCATGCACGCTTAGTTGTATATATATATTCTCGCTTTACCGGTAAATCGCACAATAAACCAAACATCCAAGTTTCCGGACATGTTCCACCATCTTTATATAATCCGACTGCCCTAATCCATTTGAAAACGAATCCCCTTTTCACGATGCTACTCCATATAATTGTTTCAACCAAGTAAAAAGAGCTTATGTACCTACTCAGTACCTCAACCGGCCAGATCGTCAGCTCAGTCGTAGTTCGTTGCAGGCAGCCCATAACCAGCTCACATATGAGCCTTCCAATCACATGACAGTCGGGTTAACGTTGGACCCATCTCGTCAATTCCTCTTTGACTGCCTCTTTACGCATCCACACCGAGATCAAGGATGGGCTCTGCCTGACCGTCCATGGACCCCGTCGTCGGAATTCATGATCCACCCCACCGCCAATCAACCGCCCTTTGCAACGAGTCCTTTCCCATCTCACCGGTCGCGATCCATCTCTCTCCCACAAGGATTGGATCTCCTTCACCGGACGAATCCCCAGCCAAGCGATAATCCTCCCCCCTTTGGTTCCCGATTGCCGTGACCGGGTGAATAAATCATCATTCCCTTAGCTTTATCTATCTCTAAGTTGAGTTTGGCGTGAGTTTCGAAGAAGGTAAAGTTGAGGTCTTTTTGTTTTCTTAACCCTCCTTCCGGCTGCTGCTGTAGGATAGATGAGGAAGGGTTTTTCTTTGGGTTTTCCGAGGGCAAACATATTCTCTAGGGTTTAATTGTGAGTAATTTGGGGATTGAATGGTGAGAGGTTGTGTGGGGAGTAACGGGTGGAGAGTGGGGAATTCTTCCTTTTCTTCTTTTTCTTTTATTCTAATTAATATCTATTAATTTAGGTATAATCAATAGAAATTAATTAAAACAAAACTCCCAATTCATAATGAGTATTAGCTTACTCAACCACGAACCGAATCGATTATTGGACGAACCCAACTCAAAAATTCGGGATGTTACAAATACGAACTCTTAGTAACGAGTCCAAATAGTACAATAAGGTGGATTTGCACTCCAAATGTCTTGTAATGTTGATGGACATGTGATTCAATGATTGGTTTAGTCATATAAACACATAAACCGCTTAATTGTGTCACAATGACAATAAGTGAACGAGCACGAACTCTTATTAACGAGTCCAAATTAAGCAATAAGGTGGATCTGCACTCCAAACATCTTGTAATCTTGGTGCACATGTGATTCTTTGATTGTTTTAGCCATGTAAATACATAAAAAGCTTAATTGTGTCATGATAACAAGATGTGCACGAGTACAAACTCTTAGTACCGAGTCCAAATTGCACAATAATGTGGATTACGCACTCCAAATGTCTTGTAATGTTGATGGACATGTGATTCAATGATTGTTTTAGTCATATAAACACATAAACCGCTTAATTGTATCATCATAAATGACAAGATGTGCACGAGTACGAACTCTTAGTACCGGGTCCAAATTGCACAATAAGGTGGATATGCACTCCAAATGTCTTGTAATGTTGGTGGACATGTGATTCTTTGATTGGTTTAGTCATGTAAATCATAAAAAGCTTAATTGTGTCATAATGACAAGATGTGCACGAGTACGAACTCTTAGTACCGAGTCGAAATTGCTCAATAAGGTCGATTTGCACTCCAAATTTCTTGTAATTTTGGTGGACATGTGATTCTTTGATTGGTTTAGTCATGTAAATACATAAAAAGCTTAATTGTGTCATAATGACAAGATGTGCACGAGTACGAACTCTTAGTACCAAGTCCAAATTGCACAATAATGTGGATTACGCACTCCAAATGTCTTGTAATGTTGATGGACATGTGATTCAATGATTGTTTTATTCTTATAAACACATAAACCGCTTAATTGTATCATCATAATGACAAGATGTGCACGAGTACGAACTCTTAGTACCGAGTCCAAATTGCGCAATAAGGTGGATTTGCACTCCAAATGTCTTGTAATTTTGGTGGACATGTGATTCTTTGATTGTTTTAGTCATGTAAATACATAAAAAGCTTAATTGTGTCATAATGACAAGATGTGCACGAGTACAAACTCTTAGTACCGTGTCCAAATTGCACAATAATGTGGATTATGCACTTCAAATGTCTTGTAATGTTGATGGACATGTGATTCAATGATTGTTTTAGTAATATAAACACATAAACCGCTTAATTGTGTCATAATGATAAGATTTGCACGCGTACGAAATCTTAGTACCGAGTCCAAATTGCACAATAAGGTGGATTTGCACTCCAAATGTCTTGTAATTTTGGTGGATATGTGATTCTTTGATTGGTTTAGTCATGTAAATACATAAAAAGCTTAATTGTGTCATAATGACAAGAAGTGAACGAGTACGAACTCTTAGTAACGAGTCCAAATAGTACAATAAGGTGGATTTGCACTCCAAATGTCTTGTAATATTGATGGACATGTGATTCAATTATTGGTTTAGTCATATAAACACATAAACCGCTTAATTGTGTCATAATGACGAGAAGTGAACGAGTACGAACTCTTAGTACCGAGTCCAAATTGCACAATAAGGTGGATTTGCACTCCAAATGTCTTGTAATGTTGATAGACATGTGATTCTTTGATTGGTTTAGTCATATAAACACATAAACCGCATAATTGTGTCTGTATGACAAGATGTGCACGAGTACGAACTCTTTTTACCGAGTCCAAATTGCACAATAAGGTGGATTTGCACTCCAAATGTCTTGTAATGTTGATAGACATGTGATTCTTCGATTGGTTTAGTCATATAAACACATAAACCACTTAATTGTGTCATAATGACAAGACGTGCACGAGTTCGAACTATTAGTACCAACTCCAAATTGCACAATAAGGTGGATTTGCACTCCAAATGTCTTGTAATGTTGATAGACATGTGATTCTTCGATTGGTTTAGTCATATAAACACATAAACCGCTTAATTGTGTCATAATGACAAGATGTGCACGAGTACGAACTCTTTTTACCGAGTCCAAATTGCACAATAAGGTGGACTTGCACTCCAAATGACTTGTAATGTTGATAGACATGTGATTCTTTGATTGGTTTAGTCATATAAACACATAAACCACTTAATTGTGTCATAATGACAAGACGTGCACGAGTTCGAACTATTAGTACCAACTCCAAATTGCACAATAAGGTGGATTTGCACTCCAAATGTCTTGTAATGTTGATAGACATGTGATTCTTTGATTGGTTTAGTCATGTAAATACATAAAAAGCTTAATTGTGTCATAATGACAAGATGTGCACGAGTACGAACTCTTAGTACCAAGTCCAAATTGCACAATAATGTGGATTACGCACTCCAAATGTCTTGTAATGTTGATGGACATGTGATTCAATGATTGTTTTATTCTTATAAACACATAAACCGCTTAATTGTATCATCATAATGACAAGATGTGCACGAGTACGAACTCTTAGTACCGAGTCCAAATTGCGCAATAAGGTGGATTTGCACTCCAAATGTCTTGTAATTTTGGTGGACATGTGATTCTTTGATTGTTTTAGTCATGTAAATACATAAAAAGCTTAATTGTGTCATAATGACAAGATGTGCACGAGTACAAACTCTTAGTACCGTGTCCAAATTGCACAATAATGTGGATTATGCACTTCAAATGTCTTGTAATGTTGATGGACATGTGATTCAATGATTGTTTTAGTAATATAAACACATAAACCGCTTAATTGTGTCATAATGATAAGATTTGCACGCGTACGAAATCTTAGTACCGAGTCCAAATTGCACAATAAGGTGGATTTGCACTCCAAATGTCTTGTAATTTTGGTGGATATGTGATTCTTTGATTGGTTTAGTCATGTAAATACATAAAAAGCTTAACTGTGTCATAATGACAAGAAGTGAACGAATACGAACTCTTAGTAACGAGTCCAAATAGTACAATAAGGTGGATTTGCACTCCAAATGTCTTGTAATATTGATGGACATGTGATTCAATTATTGGTTTAGTCATATAAACACATAAACCGCTTAATTGTGTCATAATGACAAGAAGTGAACGAGTACGAACTCTTATTACCGAGTCCAAATTGCACAATAAGGTGGATTTGCACTCCAAATGTCTTGTAATGTTGATAGACATGTGATTCTTTGATTGGTTTAGTCATATAAACACATAAACCGCATAATTGTGTCTGTATGACAAGATGTGCACGAGTACGAACTCTTTTTACCGAGTCCAAATTGCACAATAAGGTGGATTTGCACTCCAAATGTCTTGTAATGTTGATAGACATGTGATTCTTCGATTGGTTTAGTCATATAAACACATAAACCACTTAATTGTGTCATAATGACAAGACGTGCACGAGTTCGAACTATTAGTACCAACTCCAAATTGCACAATAAGGTGGATTTGCACTCCAAATGTCTTGTAATGTTGATAGACATGTGATTCTTCGATTGGTTTAGTCATATAAACACATAAACCGCTTAATTGTGTCATAATGACAAGATGTGCACGAGTACGAACTCTTTTTACCGAGTCCAAATTGCACAATAAGGTGGATTTGCACTCCAAATGACTTGTAATGTTGATAGACATGTGATTCTTTGATTGGTTTAGTCATATAAACACATAAACCACTTAATTGTGTCATAATGACAAGACGTGCACGAGTTCGAACTATTAGTACCAACTCCAAATTGCACAATAAGGTGGATTTGCACTCCAAATGTCTTGTAATGTTGATAGACATGTGATTCTTTGATTGGTTTAGTCATGTAAATACATAAAAAGCTTAATTGTGTCATAATGACAAGATGTGCACGAGTACGAACTCTTAGTACCAAGTCCAAATTGCACAATAAGGTGGATTACGCACTCCAAATGTCTTGTAATGTTGATGGACATGTGATTCAATGATTGTTTTATTCTTATAAACACATAAACCGCTTAATTGTATCATGATAATGACAAGATGTGCACGAGTACGAACTCTTAGTACCGAGTCCAAATTGCGCAATAAGGTGGATTTGCACTCCAAATGTCTTGTAATTTTGGTGGACATGTGATTCTTTGATTGTTTTAGTCATGTAAATACATAAAAAGCTTAATTGTGTCATAATGACAAGATGTGCACGAGTACAAACTCTTAGTACCGTGTCCAAATTGCACAATAATGTGGATTATGCACTTCAAATGTCTTGTAATGTTGATGGACATGTGATTCAATGATTGTTTTAGTAATATAAACACATAAACCGCTTAATTGTGTCATAATGATAAGATTTGCACGCGTACGAAATCTTAGTACCGAGTCCAAATTGCACAATAAGGTGGATTTGCACTCCAAATGTCTTGTAATTTTGGTGGACATGTGATTCTTTGATTGGTTTAGTCATGTAAATACATAAAAAGCTTAATTGTGTCATAATGACAAGAAGTGAACGAGTACGAACTCTTAGTACCGAGTCCAAATTGTACAATAAGGTGGATTTGCACTCCAAATGTCTTGTAATATTGATGGACATGTGATTCAATTATTGGTTTAGTCATATAAACACATAAACCGCTTAATTGTGTCATAATGACCAGAAGTGAACGAGTACGAACTCTTAGTACCGAGTCCAAATTGCACAATAAGGTGGATTTGCACTCCAAATGTCTTGTAATGTTGATGGACATGTGATTTAATGATTGGTTTAGTCATATAAACACATAACCGCTTAATTGTGTCATAATGACAAGATGTGCACGAGTACGAACTCTTAGTACCGAGTCGAAATTGCACAATAAGGTGAATTTTCACTCCAAATGTCTTGTAATTTTGGTGGATATGTGATTCTTTGATTGGTTTAGTCCTGTAAATACATAAAAAGCTTAACTGTGTCATAATGACAAGAAGTGAACGAATACGAACTCTTAGTAACGAGTCCAAATAGTACAATAAGGTGGATTTGCACTCCAAATGTTTTGTAATGTTGATGGACATGTGATTCAATGATTGGTTTAGTCATATAAACACATAAACCGCTTAAATTGTGTCATAATAACAAGACGTGCACGAGTACGAACTCTTAGTACCGAGTCCAAATTTCACAATAAGGTGGATTTGCACTCCAAATGTCTTGTAATGTTGATAGACATGTGATTCTTTGATTGCTTTAGTCATTTGATCACATAAACCGCTTAATTGTGTCATAATGACAAGATGTGCACGAGTACGAACTCTTAGTACCGAGTTCAAATTGCACAATAAGGTGGATTACGCACTCCAAATGTCTTGTAATGTTGATGGACATGTGATTCAATGATTGTTTTAGTCATATAAACACATAAACCGCTTAATTGTGTCATAATGACAAGATGTGCACGAGTACGAACTGTCACATCCCGATCTTTAAAACCCTTAAATAACAGTTTTGCTCCAGAGCATATTTAAAATTTTGAAAGAAATAAATAATAATGTGCTCGAAATACCAATACTGAAAATACATCTTATAATTTAAAAGCAAAGCCCTAACAGTTGGGCAAACCTCAATCCATAAAGTCTTATCCTTTTAAATCTCCAGTCATTACTCATAATCATAAAGCAAATAACTAAAGATTACAAATGCTGCTTACTCCGATCCGTGGTCAGACATCTTCAGAAGTGGTCACGTGCTCCTCCTCGGGTAGCCTGCTCTCTCGCTGGATGCTCCTCGACTGGATGCTCTCTAGCTCCTCCTCTACGACCTGGTGAGTGGGTTGGGGTCAGTCTACGCCATTACTAAAACTTGAAGCACTTACGGGTATTCCCTTAAGTGTTCACCTCAAAAACTTGTGGAAGTTGTTCATACTTCCACCCTTTAAATTTTAACCCTTAAAAACGTGGGAGTTGTTGTTACTCGCCACCCTCAAAATCTTAAATCTTTGACGACTCTGGGATACCCTCACTAACTAGTCCGACCGCCCAGCTCATACGTATGAGGGCCAATATAGGCCTTTCCTTAAACCTTTTTATGGGAGTAATAGATTCAACCCCATAAACCTTAAGAGTATATCATACTCTTCTTTTAAACTTCATGTGATGTCTTAGTGATTCATCCACATGTTCCTTAAGAGCAAACTTGCTCTTCCTTTAAACTTTCACTGGGGCGGGGGACTGTCGTTAGTGAACTATCTTTAAATCTTTTCACCCTAATTTAATTAGGAGTGAAATACCTCTTAAATATTGATCCTTAAAGATCAAACAACCTTCATTATTTAATTTTGCTACTATAATTATATCCCTTAATTCAACTTAATTTCATCGTAATAATTAGTCTATCAATAAACCCAATTTAACAATCAAAAGATTAACTACATATTATATTCTTGATGGGTCGAAACTAATACCTTACTCATCCCTTACTCAAATTAACATAACTCCCTTATCCAATTCATTATCATAATAACTTCTAATTTAACTCATCATAATAACTAACCTATCAAGACTTATATTTTGCTAACTGATAACTTAAATCACTTAACCTATTAATTTCCTAAGAGAATCATTTAACAACATCGTTAATCATATTATTGGATCAAACATATAATTAATTCAAACTAACTCATTTTATTAGTTACGAACATAATTTAACATCCTAATACATCCATTAGTAAGATACATAGTAAATCATTTACAACTAAATCCAATTGAATTAACATGTGAACTCTACAGCTCATTTAGTGACAGTCGCAGAAACAATCACTAAAATTATGATATCTCGTCCCTAATAGGGTGCCACTGACATAGGTTGGCCAGACTATAGCCACGACGGCTGTTTCGTTGCTAAAAGCCTGTAAATCCGTTGCTAATTCTCCAGATTTCTACAAACTCGTATCTAATCATGTAAACATCGATTTTAACTCGAGGGATCGGTTCTCCTTACCTTGTAGTCGTGCCTAGACCTCGATTCAGGTCATTAGAGTCCCCGTTCCTTGTTTAGATTGTCGTTCGATCACCCCGTACGTACCTATGCCGTCAAAGTTACGTCGAAGACAACCATGGTTAGTACCTATTGAGCTTTGAAGCTTGAAGAGTGTTGGGGTTTTGTCGTTCTTACTTACTAGTCTCTACAGGGAGTGGAAGACATGAATGGAATCAACACTAGTTAGTAGTGTGGCGTTTCTCCGGAAATGGCAATGATCGATGATGTGGCCGGCGATGCGGCGGGGAAGATGACGCATGGGACGAGTGCTAGAGCTTTCGTTAGCTTCCTCCTCCTGTTGCTGGCGGTGGCAATAATGACTCTCGGAGATAGATGGAGCGGCTTCTTTAATGATGACGATGATGGCGGGAGGCTTTGCTGAAGGGAACGATTGGAACTTGGAAGGAGGAAAGAAGTTGATGATAATGGATGCAAGGTTCTGGTGTTGTTGGGAATCAGTAATGAAGGGAAGAAATGAGAAAGTGGATGCCAGATGGAGGGATTCATAGTCACACGAGAAATGAGATGGATGTATAATTTAAGCCATCCATCCATGCACCGACACTCTTATCTCTAGCTAGCTGTCTCTATTAATTTAGCTCACAAGTATGATGTGTCAAGGGGATGGGAGCGTACAGAGCTTGTTGGGGGTGAGTTGCATCTGAGTGTAATTTGGAGTGGGATAATGGTGTTGGTGGTTGATGACCATAAAGCGAAAACTGGCGTGGGATAACTCTTTTGTTTTTTTATACTAATAATAATAGTAATAATTATAATTATTACTACTATTTCTAATCCTAATCTGCAGTCCTTTATACGTAACCGTCTATCCAATCATTTATGAGCTATGGTTGAACTCGATCCAAAATGTCGGGGTGTTACATTTCCTCCACCCTTATAAAAATTTCGTCCCCGAAATTGGAATTGTTGGATAGGTAATGAGGTACAAACACTTGTATTCTACTAGGACTAGTTTGATTGGGATGTAACATTTCCCTCCCCCTTAAATAAATTTCGACCTCGAAATTTTGGGTGAACTGTGTTGTTGAACTTGGCGGAACACAACTTAATCACCGGGACTATTATTAAATAGTGCATATTGAGAGCTGAACACTAAAATACATTGGGATAAACCGACCATCGATCTAAGCATCGTTAAACAATTCCGGGTACTTCTCTCGCATGCTAGTTTCTGTCTCCCAAGTCGCAGCCTCGTTGCCCTGGTTCCTCCATATCACTTTTACCATTACAATCTTCTTTTTTCTCAATTTCTTTTCCTGTTTATCCACGATCTTGACTGGGGTTTCCTCGTAAGTCAAATCGTCCTCCAACTGGATTTCCTCATGCCTGATCACATGTTCAGGGTTAGATCGATACGCCCTTAGCATGCTTACATGGAAGACATCGTGAATCCTAGATAGGCTAGGAGGTAAAGCTAGTCGATATGCTAAGGGTCCCACACGCTCCAACACCTCGTACGGACCGATATACCTCGGACTAAGCTTTCCCTTCTTACCGAATCTCATCACTCCCTTCCAAGGAGACACCCTCAGAAATACCATATCACCCACTTCATGATTGCGTGGGTTTCCTGGCCTCTGAGCATTACTTTTCTGCCGGTCCTGGGCCACCTTCAAGTTTCGACGAATTGCCTCCACCTTTTCCACTTCCTTCTGTACCATATCCGGACCTTCTAGTTGTCGCACTCCTTCTTCATCCCAGTATAGTGGTGTACGACATTTTCTCCCATACAATACCTCATATGGAGCTGCTTGTATTGAGCTGTGATACTGGTTATTGTAAGCAAACTCCATTAGGGGCAAATGCTCGTCCCAAGCTCCCTCCATCGTCAAGACACACGCCCTCAGCAGGTCTTCCAGCGTTTGAATCGTCCTCTCTGATTGTCCATCAGTTTGGGGGTGATATGCAGTAGAGAAATGCACCTTAGTGCCCATAGCCTTCTGAAGACTTACCCAGAATCTTGCCGTGAAGCTAGGATCGCGATCAGACACGATGCTAAGTGGAACTCCATGTAGCCTCACTATTTCTCTCACATACAATCTAGCCAGTTCTTCCAGCCCTGGCTTGAACTTGATTGGTATAAAATGAGCCACCGTTGAGAATCGGTCTACAATTACCCATACTCCGTCATTTCCCTTCGGGGTCTTCGGCAAGCCATACACAAAGTCCATAGTGATCTTCTCCCAAGTCCATTGTGGAATCTCCAGTGGTAGATGTTCAATGACTGGGGCTTGATGCTCAGCCTTAATCATTTGACACTCCAAGCACTGATATACATGTGCTGCTACGTCCTTCTTCATTCCTGGCCACCAAAAATGCTCCTTGAGGGTACGATACATTTTTGTGGCACCAGGGTGCATCGCATAAGGTGCAGAGTGGGCCTCGTCTAGAATGTCCTTTCTCAACTTGTCGACATCCGGCACACACAATCTTCCTTGATACATCAGTACACCATCTACCAATTCAAATTTGGTGTCCTTCCCTTCTAACACCCGTTTCTTATACTTCCCCAATTCTGTATCTTCACTCTGCTTCTCCTTGATACGTTCCTGTAACATAGGGCGAACCTTCAGGGTCGCTAACAACTTCGTCACTTCTTCTAATTCCAATTCCACGTTCATGGCCCTCAAAGAGACCAATTCGGGTAAAGGACTCTCTCTCTTCCTACTCAATGCATCAGCTACCACATTTGCCTTTCCTGGATGGTACTTAATAGTACAATCGTAATCGCTTAACATCTCTATCCACCTCCTCTGTCTTATGTTCAACTCCTCCTGATCAGTTAAGTGTTGGAGACTTTTGTGATCAGTAAAGATGGTGAAAGTCTCGCCGTAGAGATAGTGTCTCCATAGTTTCAAGGCGAAGACCACTGCTGCCAACTCTAAGTCATGGGTGGGGTAGTTCACCTCGTGGGTTCGTAGTTGCCTCGAAGCATACGCAATCACCTTCTTATCTTGCATCATCACGCAACCCAACCCTTGATAGGAAGCATCGGTATAGATGGAATACTCCCCACCGCTGGTTGGTAGTGCCAACACTGGTGCAGATGTCAACTTCTTCTTCAGCAACTCGAATGCAGCTTGACACTTCTCGTCCCATACAAATGCCTTCCCCTTCTGCAACAATTGAGTCATGGGTCTCGCAATGCTGGAGAAGCCTTCTACAAATCTCCGGTAATACCCAGCTAAACCCAAAAAACTCCGTACTTCGGAAACGTTCTTTGGTGGAATCCAATTTGTCACAGCTTCAATCTTCTTAGGATCCACTTCAACTCCACGACCAGAGATCATATGTCCCAAAAATAGGACTTCGTCTAGCCAGAAATCGCATTTAGAGAACTTGGCATACAACTCTTCCTCCTTCAGTTTCTGTAATACCACCCTTAAGTGCTCTTCATGATCTTTCTCGCCTTAGAGTAGATGAGAATGTCATCAATGAATACGATGACAAACTTATCTAGATATTCATGAAGAACTCGGTTCATCAAGGCCATGAAAGCTGCCGGTGCATTAGTCAAACCGAACGGCATGACAAAAAACTCGTAGTGGCCATATCGTGTGCGAAATGCCGTCTTAGGTATTGAGCCATCTGCTATTCTCAATTGATGGTATCCAGACCTTAGATCAATTTTTGAGAACACTTTTGCTCCTTGTAGCTGGTCGAAGAGATCGTCTATCCTTGGCAGAGGATAACGATTCTTGATGGTTGCCTTGTTCAACTTTCTATAGTCGATGCACAGTCTCATACTGCCATCCTTCTTCTTCACGAACAACACTGGTGCTCCCCACGGTGATACGCTAGGGCGGATGAAACCCTTCTCCAATAGCTCTTCTAACTGTTCCTTCAGCTCCTTCAACTCCACTGGTGCCATGCGGTATGGAGGAATGGATATTGGTGCTGTACCAGGAACCACTTCAATATCAAACTCCACCTCCCGTTGCGGCGGTAACCCAGGAAGATTTTCGGGGAATACCTCGGGGTATTCTCTCACAATAGGCACATCTTTTATCTTCTTCTCTTGCACCTCCTTGATATGGGCCAAGTAGGCTTCACATCCTTTTTGGATCAACGAGAAGGCCTTCATCGCAGAGATTAAGCCTCCTGGAATCAGCTTTCTGGTACCCTTGAATAACGTCGTGCCCTTGCCCTCAATTTCAAGGCTAACCTCCTTCTTGTAACAATCCACCCTTGCTCGGTTTTTGGACAGCCAATCCATACCCAGTATGACGTCAAACTCGTCAAACGGTAGTATGATTAGATTTGCTTCGAACTCGTAACCAGCCACTGTGATAGTGCAATTCCTAATGACAGAATCGACTATCAATGTATCCCCTACTGGGGTTCTCACCCCTAAGTTCTGACCCAACTTCACTGATGGTATTCTTAAGTTTCTAGCAAACTTTGTAGAGATAAATGAATGCGTAGAACCAGAATCGATGAGCACAAAAGCTGAATGTCGGTAAAGAGTAATCATACCCGTCACCACTTCAGGTGCAGCATCAGCCTCTTCTCTCCTCATGGCGAAGATCCTTGGTTGCCCAGCTGCTTGAGACCCCTGGCCCCTATCATTACGGATGGACCGCCCAGCATTTCCTCCATTGTTGTTGAAAGATCGATTTTGATGATTGCCAAACTGGTACCCGGTGTGAGTTTTGCCTCCTCCACCACGAACAGACTGTTCAGACTGAGTCCTCCCTTGCCCTCCCTTCTTAGGGCATTCTCTGGCAAAATGGCCTGGCTCGTTGCAGTGGAAACAGACCCCTAAGTGAAGCTTGCATTCTCCCGGATGAATCTTCCCACACTGGTTGCAAGGACCCCTGTTACTATAGGTCGGACCCGGCTTAGTCGAACCAGCCCGACTTTGAGTGCCTCCATAACTGGGTGTACCAGTCGGCCTCCTCCTCGTCTGACTCATCTGGCTCGGTCCCTCTGTGAAGCTCATAGCCTTTCTCTTATGACCATCTCGTTGTACCCTTTCTTCGTACAAGCTCTGTTCTACCCTCTCCACTCGGAGGGCTGCCTGATAAATCTCCTCTCTACTGTTCCATACATGTGCACTCAGGTCCCTCCTAAGGGTAGGCTTCAGGCTCTCTAGGTAGTGACTACGTTGAATCCCAGCATCCTGGAACTGCGGCCCCCCATAAGGGAGCAGTTTATCAAACCGGGATGTGTACTCCGCCACTGTTTCTCTTTTTTCACTTCCCCACTTCTGCCTGATCATAAGGAATTCCCTCTGTTGCTCGGTTCGATAGGACATTGGTATGTAGTGGTCTTTGAACAGTTGCACGAACCCTGGCCAAGTGATGGCTGGTGGATCCTCTTGAATGGCTGGCAGTGTAGCCCACCAGTTGTAAGCAGCACCCTGCAGTAGGGACACTGTCAGCAACACTTTGTCCTCGTCATCTGCTCGCATCTCCTGTAAAGTGCGAGTGACTTTTGACAGCCACAAATCGATCTCCATGGGATCCGTCGAACGATCCCCATAGAAATCCTCTACCTTCCTCTTCCGGAACGTATCATAATCCGGTGGACGCCTAGGTTGCGGCGGTGGTGGAAGGTTGACATGGGCATTACTAACTCTGCATATAAGTAAGGCCCTTTTAGTAATCGAGTTATTTTTTTTTCCAATACGATTAGAGTAGACTGGAGATTTTATAAATCCTTACAAGAAATCTTTGACTCGTTTGGCCAAAACTTAAAACACATTTTTCTTTTCCTTTAAAACATAAGCCTTTAAAACTACGACCGATATTCTAGTATTCCTTGGAGACCAAGGAACAGAAGAACACCGGCTCTGATACCAAAATGTCACATCCCGATCTTTAAAACCCTTAAATAACAGTTTTGCTCCAGAGCATATTTAAAATTTTGAAAGAAAGAAATAATAATGTGCTCGAAATACCAATACTGAAAATACATCTTATAATTTAAAAGCAAAGCCCTAACAGTTGGGCAAACCTCAATCCATAAAGTCTTATCCTTTTAAATCTCCAGTCATTACTCATAATCATAAAGCAAATAACTAAAGATTACAAATGCTGCTTACTCCGATCCGTGGTCAGACATCTTCAGAAGTGCTCACGTGCTCCTCCTCGGGTAGCCTGCTCTCTCGCTGGATGCTCCTCGACTGGATGCTCTCTAGCTCCTCCTCTACGACCTGGTGAGTGGGTTGGGGTCAGTCTACGCCATTACTAAAACTTGAAGCACTTACGGGTATTCCCTTAAGTGTTCACCTCAAAAACTTGTGGAAGTTGTTCATACTTCCACCCTTTAAATTTTAACCCTTAAAAACGTGGGACTTGTTGTTACTCACCACCCTCAAAATCTTAAATCTTTGACGACTCTGGGATCCCCTCACTAACTAGTCCGACCGCCCAGCTCATACGTATGAGGGCCAATATAGGCCTTTCCTTAAACCTTTTTATGGGAGTAATAGATTCAACCCCATAAACCTTAAGAGTATATCATACTCTTCTTTTAAACTTCATGTGATGTCTAAGTGATTCATCCACATGTTCCTTAAGAGCAAACTTGCTCTTCCTTTAAACTTTCACTGGGGCGGGGGACTGTCGTTAGTGAACTATCTTTAAATCTTTTCACCCTAATTTAATTAGGAGTGAAATACCTCTTAAATATTGATCCTTAAAGATCAAACAACCTTCATTATTTAATTTTGCTACTATAATTATATCCCTTAATTCAACTTAATTTCATCGTACTAATTAGTCTATCAATAAACCCAATTTAACAATCAAAAGATTAACTACATATTATATTCTTGATGGGTCGAAACTAATACCTTACTCATCCCTTACTCAAATTAACATAACTCCCTTATCCAATTCATTATCATAATAACTTCTAATTTAACTCATCATAATAACTAACCTATCAAGACTTATATTTTGCTAACTGATAACTTAAATCACTTAACCTATTAATTTCCTAAGAGAATCATTTAACAACATCGTTAATCATATTATTGGATCAAACATATAATTAAATCAAACTAACTCATTTTATTAGTTACGAACATAATTTAACATCCTAATACATCCATTAGTAAGATACATAGTAAATCATTTACAACTAAATCCAATTGAATTAACATGTGAACTCTACAGCTCATTTAGTGACAGTCGCAGAAACAGTCACTAAAATTATGATATCTCGTCCCTAAAAGGGTGCCACTGACATAGGTTGGCCAGACTATAGCCACGACGGCTGTTTCGTTGCTAAAAGCCTGTAAATCCGTTGCTAATTCTCCAGATTTCTACAAACTCGTATCTAATCATGTAAACATCGATTTTAACTCGAGGGATCGGTTCTCCTTACCTTGTAGTCGTGCCTAGACCTCGATTCAGGTCATTAGAGTCCCCTTTCCTTGTTTAGATTGTCGTTCGATCACCCCGTACGTACCTATGCCGTCAAAGTTACGTCGAAGACAACCGTGGTTAGTACCTATTGAGCTTTGAAGCTTGAAGAGTGTTGGGGTTTTGTCGTTCTTACTTACTAGTCTCTACAGGGAGTGGAAGACATGAATGGAATCGACACTAGTTAGTAGTGTGGCGTTTCTCCGGAAATGGCAATGATCGGTGATGTGGCCAGCGATGCGGCGGGGAAGATGACGCATGGGACGAGTGCTAGAGCTTTCGTTAGCTTCCTCCTCCTGTTGCTGGCGGTGGCAATAATGACTCTCGGAGATAGATGGAGCGGCTTCTTTAATGATGACGATGATGGCAAGAGGCTTTGCTGAAGGGAACGATTGGAACTTGGAAGGAGGAAAGAAGTTGATGATAATGGATGCAAGGTTCTGGTGTTGTTGGGAATCAGTAATGAAGGGAAGAAATGAGAAAGTGGATGCCGGATGGAGGGATTCATAGTCACACGAGAAATGAGATGGATGTATAATTTAAGCCATCCATCCATGCACCGACACTCTTATCTCTAGCTAGCTGTCTCTATTAATTTAGCTCACAAGTATGATGTGTCAAGGGGATGGGAGCGTACAGAACTTGTTGGGGGGTGAGTTGCATCTGAGTGTAATTTGGAGTGGGATAATGTGTTGGTGGTTGATGACCATAAAGCGAAAACTGGCGTGGGATAACTCTTTTGTTTTTTTATACTAATAATAATAGTAATAATTATAATTATAATTATTACTACTATTCCTAATCCTAATCCGCAGTCCTTTATACGTAACCGTCTATCAAATCATTTATGAACTATGGTTGAACTCGATCCAAAACGTCGGGGTTTTACACGAACTCTTAGTACCGGGTCCAAATTGCACAATAAGGTGGATATGCACTCCAAATGTCTTGTAATGTTGGTGGACATGTGATTCTTTCATTGGTTTAGTCATGTATATTCATAAAAAGCTTAATAGTTTCATAATGACAAGATGTGCACGAGTACGAACTCTTAGTACCGAGTCCAAATTGCACAATAAGGTGGATTACGCACTCCAAATGTCTTGTAATGTTGATGGACATGTGATTCAATGATTGTTTTAGTCATATAAACACATAAACCGCTTAATTGTGTCATAATGACAAGATGTGCACGAGTACGAACTCTTAGTACCGGGTCCAAATTGCACAATAAGGTGGATATGCACTTCAAATGTCTTGTAATGTTGGTGGACATGTGATTCTTTGATTGGTTTAGTCATGTATATTCATAAAAAGCTTAATTGTTTCATAATGACAAGATGTGCACGAGTACGAACTCTTAGTACCAAGTCCAAATTGCACAATAATGTGGATTACGCACTCCAAATGTCTTGTAATGTTGATGGACATGTGATTCAATGATTATTTTAGTCATATAAACACCTAAACCGCTTAATTGTGTCATAATGACAAGATGTGCACGAGTACGAACTCTTAGTACCGAGTCCAAATTGCACAATAATGTGGATTACGCACTCCAAATGTCTTGTAATTTTGATGGACATGTGATTCAATGATTATTTTAGTCATATAAACAGATAAACCGTTTAATTGTGTCATAATGACAAGATGTGCACGAGTACGAACTCTTAGTACCGAGTCCAAATTGCACAAAATGGTGGATTTCCACTCCAAAAGACTTGTAATGTTGATGGACATGTGATTCAATGATTAGTTTAGTCATTTAATCACATAAACAGCTTAATTGTGTCATAATGACAAGATGTGCACGAGTACGAACTCTTAGTATGTAGTTCAAATTATACAATAAGGTGGATTTGCACTCAAAATGTTGATGGACATGTGATTAAATGATTGGTTTAGTCATATAAACACATAAATCGCTTAATTGTGTCATAATGACAAGAAGTGAACGAGTACGAACTCTTAGTAACGAGTCCAAATAGTACAATAAGGTGGATTTGCACTCCAAATGTCTTGTAATGTTGATGGACATGTGATTCAATGATTGGTTTAGTCATATAAACACATAAACCGCTTAATTGTGTCAAAATGACAAGATACGCACGAGTACGAACTCTTAGTACCGAGTCCAAATTGCACAATAAGGTGGATTTGCACTCCAAATGTCTTGTAATTTCGGTAGACATGTGATTCTTTGATTGGTTTAGTCATGTAAATACATAAAAAGTTTAATTGTGTCATACTGACAAGATGTGCACGAGTACGAACTCTTAGTACCGTGTCCAAATTGCAAAATGAGGTGGAGTACGCACTCCAAATGTCTTGTAATGTTGATGGACATGTGATTCAACGATTGTTTTAGTCATACAACCACATAAACCGCTTAATTGTGTCATAATGACAAGATGTGCACGAGTACGAACTCTTAGTACCGAGTCCAAATTGCACTCCAAATGTCTTGTAATTTGGTGGACATGTGATTCTTTGATTGGTTTAGTCATGTAAATACATAAAAAGCTTAATTGTGTCATAAAGACAAGATGTGCACGAGTATGAACTTTTAGTACCGTGTCCAAATTGCACAATAAGGTGGATTACGCACTCCAAATGTATTGTAATGTTGACGGACATGTGATTCAATGATTGTTTTAGTCATATAAACACATAAACCGCTTAATTGTGTCATAATGACAAGATGTGCACGAGTACGAACTCTTAGTACCGAGTCCAAATTGCACAATAAGGTGGATTTGCACTCCAAATGTCTTGTAATGTTGGTGGACATGTGATTCTTTGATTGGTTTAGTCATGTAAATACATAAAAAGCTTAATTGTGTCATAAAGACAAGATGTGCACGAGTATGAACTTTTAGTACCGTGTCCAAATTGCACAATAAGGTGGATTACGCAGTCCAAATGTATTGTAATGTTGACGGACATGTGATTTAATGATTGTTTTAGTCATATAACACATAAACCGCTTAATTGTGTCATAATGACAAGATGTGCACGAGTACGAACTCTTAGTACCGAGTCCAAATTGCATAATAAGGTGGATTTGCACTCCAAATGTCTTGTAATGTTGGTGGACATGTGATTCTTTGATTGGTTTAGTCATGTAAATACATAAAAAGCTTAATTGTTTCATAATGACAAGATGTGCACGAGTACGAACTCTTAGTACCGTGTCCAAATTGCGCAATAAGGTGGATTACGCACTCCAAATGTCTAGTACTGTTGATGGACATGTGATTCAATGATTGTTTTAGTCATATAAACACATAAACCGCTTAATTGTGTCATAATGACAAGATGTGCACGAGTACGAACTCTTAGTACCGAGTCCAAATAGCACAATAAGGTGGATATGCACTCCAAATGCCTTGTAATGTTGGTGGACATGTGATTCTTTGATTGGTTTAGTCATGTAAATACATAAAAGCTTAATTGTGTCATAATGACAAGATGTGCACGAGTACAAACTCTTAGTACCGAGTCCAAATTGCACAATAAGGTGGATTACGCACTCCAAATGTCTTGTAATTTTGATGGACATGTGATTCAATGGTTATTTTAGTCATATAAACACATAAAACGCTTAATTGTGTCATAATGACAAGATGTGCACGAATACGAACTCTTAGTACCGAGTCCAAATTGCACAATAAGGTGGATTTACGCTCCAAATGTCTTGTAATGTTGGTGGAGATGTGATTCCGAAGGGTTAAAACTGCAAATTAAGAATAATAATAATAATAATAACCTATTATTATTATTAAAACAAAAAAAAAACAAAAAAAAAAAAAAGAGAAAACCCACCCCACCCCAAACAAACACCATCTATTACACCATTCCACCCCACCCCACTTCTCCATCTCTCTCTCTCTCTCGTGACCTAATTAATCCCCCACCATTCCTCATTTACACCCATCACGTTTTCATCAGAATGCCCATTTAATTGGACACACTACTTCAGATTTGAAATTAAGTGAAGAATATAGCAGTTGCAAAGCACTGTCGGTGCCGCTTCACATCTTAAAAGAGGTCGCCTTCCTCTTTTCTTCGTTCCCAAACAGCACCACCATCATGATACTCGCCCTCCCATTCTGATCTCGCCTAGCGACAGCAGCAGCCGAAGGAAGCAGCTGCACTACTACTCTCCGCACGTTCACCAGCTAGTAACCAAGAAGCGAGCGCTGTCATTCGTCCATCGCCCTTACTTCCTCTCGTTTTCACACAGGCCCCGACACGTCCCGTTGGCCAACTCGTAGCACGACCCTCGGTACCGCTTTATCCTGCCAAGCAAATACGACCCAGGCTCGGTAATAATCTCGAACCCAAGTTTCCTTCGGACTCAAGTTATGTTGTAGCTAATCGATCCGCATACGTAATAAACCGTAGCTTTGCCACAAGACGTCGGGGGCTCAAACGGCGATCGACAAGAAGGAACGACACCCAGAATCATCAACCCAGTTTTAAGTTCAACCCAAAGGTAACAGATCCGAGTCTATAAGATTAGCTCGAGTTAGTAACGTATAAGCAAGTTTTTGGTTTTAGTGACCAAATTACATTCTTTTAGTGACGAAATTGACGCCGCAAATGATTGCTGGGCTATTGCCCAGATCAGTCCCCCATGTATTCATTATATACAGCTTAGTCCCTCTGAGTTTTTAGTTTTGACAAATTGGCCCGAAAGTTGTATTTATTTTATGATTATGTTTAGTTCTGATGCTTTCCAGTAGGTATTTTCGTAATATGATAATTTTATAAATTTGATAATATTTATATGATGCTCGTGTATAATTTTAGAATTTTTGAAGATGTATTTGAATTTATAAAAATTGAAAGAATGTTGGTTTTAATTAATTAAAATACTGTACGAAGTCGTTTTGGTGATTTGATAATTTTCCATTAAACTAGGATTATTTATTTATGTTATAAAATTATAAATCATAATTATTAGTTTTCATGACTCGGTTTAAAAATTATATATGATTAATTTTAATAGGAAAAAGAGGTTATTTAAAAGAGGGGCTTATGTTTATTAATTGGGATTTTAATGATTTGAGTTAACCGAGGTCAGAATGTGGAGTCTTAAGTGGAAAATATATTTTGAGAATTATATGAGAATTATTTTAAGAAATATTGAATTGCTTGAGATGATTTAATTCTTGATTAAAGAGGTTGAAAAGTTTAGTTTTGAAGAAATGATTTAAAAGAGATTGAGGGCCATTTTTTTAAAGGATTTTGGGACTAAGTAATCAATGAGGGAAATTTTCCTCATACGTTAAAGGGACTAAATCTGAGGATTTCCAACTAAGGGAAGATGATTTCAGTGTATAGGATTGAGGAAGCGATCGGATTAAGGATTTCACGTCAAGGGAACTAAGAATTGTCATTTGAGAGGTGAGTGGTTTAAGGGGGTAAATTTTACGCCTTACGTATTTTCAAGTATTTGACTTACGAGTTTTACGTATGTGTGTTTATGTGAATCGTAAGCCAGTAATTGATTTATGTCGTGATTGATAAAACATGTTTTATTTGAGATATTATCTGAGATGCTCTATTTGAGTTATGATTGTGAAGTATATGATTATTTGAGCTGTCAGTATTTACTTGAAGCTTTTATATTTATGTTATTTAATGAAGGTTGCTTGATCTTTAAGGATCAACATTTAAGAGGTATTTCACTCCTAATTAAATTAGGGTGAAAAGATTTAAAGGTAGTTCACTAACGCCAGTCCCCCGCCCCAGTGAAAGTTTAAAGGAAGAGCAAGTTTGCTCTTAAGGAACATGTGGATGAATCACTTAGACATCACATGAAATTTAAAGGAAGAGTATGATATACTCTTAAGGTTTATGGGGTTGAATCGATTACTCCCATAAAAAGGTTTAAGGAAAGGCCTATGTGGCCCTCATACGTATGAGCTGGGCGGTTGGACTAGTTAGTGAGGGGATCCCAGAGTCGTCAAAGATTTAAGATTTTGAGGGTGGCGAGTAACAACAACTCCCACGTTTTTAAGGGTTAAAATTTAAAGGGTGGAAGTATGAACAACTTCCACAAGTTTTTGAGGTGAACACTTAAGGGAATACCCGTAAGTGCTTCAAGTTTTAGTAATGGCGTAGACTGACCCCAACCCACTCACCAGGTCGTAGAGGAGGAGCTAGAGAGCATCCAGTCGAGGAGCATCCAGCGAGAGAGCAGGCTACCCGAGGAGGACCACGTGAGCACTTCTGAAGATGTCTGACCACGGATCGGAGTAAGCAGCATTTGTAATCTTTAGTTATTTGCTTTATGATTATGAGTAATGACTGGAGATTTAAAAGGATAAGACTTTATGGATTGAGGTTTGCCCAACTGTTAGGGCTTTGCTTTTAAATTATAAGATGTATTTGCAGTATTGGTATTTCGAGCACATTATTATTTCTTTCTTCCAAAATTTTAAATATGCTCCGGAGCAAAACTGTTATTTAAGGGTTTTAAAGATCGGGATGTGACATAAGGTTTGTTGTTAAAGAATGGATTAAACCATAACTCCTGTTGTGTTTTACTTATTACCATATGGTAAGATGTGGTAAGCTATGGTTTTGTTGTGGTAACCTATTGTTTGATGTGATAAATTAAAGTAAACCATCCGTCCTGTTGTGATGTGCTTTTATACAGTGATGAGATAATGTTTAAAAGGAAGGATAGAACATTCTTGCTGAAAAGGGAGTCAGTACAGTCGATTGACATTCGCTGTGAAATCACATCTGATGTCATCGAGTGGTATGGAGATCTAATGAACATGAATGAAGCAAAAAAAAAAAGTAAAATTCAAAAGGTGGTTCTTCGATTCATCTTTGGCAGTAAGTAAACCCACCCATATTCTGTCAATAGTTCTTAGACAACACATATATAAAACACATAATAACAACAACAACTTTCAGGGTGACTGCCAACTGGACATTGATAGTAGCAATCCTCTACTAACTCCAGACGATTACTACGACAAAGTGGACTTGGGCATCACCAACAAAGAATGGGCAAAAAACCTCAGCTTCACAGAATGTAACCTTGTAAGTATCTCACCACAATTTTTGCAGTGGTTACCATATGATATATTGTGGTAAAATTAGTTTGTAGTGGTTACCATATGGTATATAGTGGTAAAATTAGTTTGCAATGGTTCTTAACTTACTGTTCAACACTTATATGGCAAGTGCTTACCATATGGTATACTGTGGTAAAATTATTTTGCAGTGGTTCTTCCCTTACTGTGATAACAAGCACTACATCATGATTTGTGTCAACATCAAAGCAGAGAGATTTGAAGTACTCGACAGTCTCCGTCACAAAGATTTTAAAGAATACTACAAACCAATGGCAGAGAGGGTTGTCCAGTACGCAATCAACTACATGAACACACAGTTTGCAGAGAAGACAGTAAAGTGGGAGAGGTTTACCTGGTTCAACCTCGAGAAGGTTACACAACCAGATGACAAGTCATGTGGGATGTACATCATCAGGTGGATGAGACACTGTGAAGGTAAGTACAACAGTGCCCTGACCAAAGACTGGAAGAGGATTGATCTCATAAATGAAGAAAGGGAGTGCCTGATGTTGGACATTATTCTTGATGAAGACAATCTTGAACGGGATAGGATCATGAAAGAATCAACAAAGTACTGCAACATGAAGAACAAGAGGAAGATTTGAAAGAAAGGAGATGAAAATTCTATTATGGTTTGTGTTGAGTAGTAGGAAGGTATAAGTAAGCTTTTGAGAACAAACTCATAATGTTCAGTAACCACTTCATTTTAGTTAGTAGGATGGTACGAAACAACCTATTATGGTGTGTATTATGACTAAGTGAAATGTTCTGTTTTTTATTATGTTAGCAAATACTTAACATGTGTTCTTAATTCCCAAATTACCACATTTTACCACATGGTATGGCAATGTAAAAATCAGTTACCACACAGAACTTCCAAACTACCACACTATACCACATGGTATGGCATGGTAAAATCAAACTACCACACTATATCACATGGTATGGCATGGTAAAATCAAACTACCACACTATACCACATGGTATGGCATGGTAAAATCAAATTACCACACTATACCATATGGTATGGCATGGTAAAATCAAACTACCACACTATACCACATGGTATGCCATGGTAAAATCAAATTACCACACTATACCATATGGTATGACATGGTAAAATCAATTATCACACAGAACCCTCACATTTAACTTCCAAATTACCACATTTTACCACATGGTAATGCACTGTAAAATCAATTACCACACAGGACAACACATGCCACTTCCAAAATAGCATATTTTACCACATGGTATGACATGGTAAAAATAAATTACAACACTATACCATATGGTATGGCAAATGTAAACTCAATTATCACACAGAACTTCCAAACTACCACACTATACCACATGGTATGGCATGGTAAAATCAATTATAAAACAGAACCTTCACATTTAACTTTCAAAATAACACATTTTACCACCTGGTTTGATATGATAAAATCAAATTACCACATTATATACCACATGGTATGACATGGTAAAATTAATTCAACAAGACAAGACAAATATCCAACAAAACCAAAATCAATCCAAAAGAACAAAATAGCTTCAACAACTCAACCAGCTTCAACCATTCATTCAAATAATCCTCTAAGAAAACTGTTACAGCTTCAGCCTTAAACTTTCTTCAACAGCCTTCAAATTCTCCTTCTCAAGCCTGCTAGTTTTTCTCTTCTTCTTACTTACAGCCCTTGCAGCCTCCGCAACTGGAATTGGTCGTTTCGAAGGCTTGAATGAATCTTTTTTAGGCTTAAACCCCTTCACTTTTTGGACCGGTACATCATCTATACCAAGATAACAAAAACAAACTAACAGAAATATTTAAAATCATTCTCCTAAAAAAATTGCATATATCAAAACACAAAACTCTAAACAATTAAAAACTTACTGTCACCGTTAGAAGACGTGTTTGTTCCAGCAGGTTCAGTAATCGATAGGGCTTCACACTTTTTGATCAAATCAGTCATGAAGGCCATGGCTGATTTATACAAATCATCATCCAGTGCAACCCAGCTGATCATTGATGCAGAAACAGCTGACAGATTGAAAAGACGAGAACGGTATTTCGATGGACTATCAGTAGACGGAACTTCAAAAGAAAAGTTCCCTCCAGTTTTTGCTGCTCTTGTCCACCGCTTCAAAATCAAACTGCTAGGAATGTGCTGGAACTTCAGATTGCATGTTGTAGACCACAACATATCATATCCCTTAATTTGATGCTTACAGATCAAACCACTTGACTCCCACTTACGGCAGGAACACTTGATTTCACCGTTATCAAAATCAACCTTCAACACCCTACTATCCAACCTCGTAAGGTCATCCTCCAATATGAAGACATCAAACATTTCTACATGTCCTTCTGGTTCTATCTCCGTATTTGAAAAAATATTATACGCAAGAGATTCCTTGTACTGGTCCAGGAAAAACTTGAATATCTTCGCCGTATACACATTAGCAACTTGCTTCACAATAGGGCTAGTAGAAAACCGAGAATCAACCAACCTAGATAAGGCATAGTACTCTTCTTGTTCTTCAGCATCCCTCTTATTATCAAGCATCCTCTCAAAGTGCACAAAGAATCTACTAACGCTAAACTCTGACTGCAAGTAATGTCGAATATTACTATTGCAGCACTCACTTAGCTGGGTACTCTTCATTCCCACACCAAAATAACAATTCACCCAGGCTGAAGACCACTTCTTCCTGACTTTGTAAATGCCCTGTAACCAACTGTGTCCCAAAGGTCCCTTCCTAGGAAAACACTTCTCAATCATCTTCTTCCAATTATACTCAAAATCATCCTCATCATCAGCATTATACATCAAATAACTAAGCTCATGAAGGAAGTCAAAGTCACACAAACTTCCCAGATTAACAACTGCATTCTGAGCAATATGCCATGTACACAATCCATGAAAACAATATGGGAAAACAGACCTTATACCAGCAGCAATTGCAGCAGCCTGGTCAGTAAACATTGATAACGGTCTCACACCTCCCATGCATTTCAAAAACTGATCGAAAAGCCATTCAAATGTTGCCGTTGTTTCATCATATAGAAGAGCAGCCGCAAAGACAGTCAGTTGGTGATGATTGTTGAAACCAACAAACAAAGCTACAAAAACATAAGAAAATGTGAGTAAAAACAATTCTACCAACACCTACCATGTGGTAAAAGGTACGAATAACAATAATACCAACCCGTACCATATGGTAAAGACTTCTAAGAACAAAAAAAAACAATCCATACCATATAGTACATACTTCTAACAACGCAAAAACCACCTCAAATAACCTTGTTACCAACGCATACCATATGGTAAAAGACTTTTAAGAACAAAAACACAATGCATACCAGCCCATACCATATAGTACATACTTCTAACAACGCAAAAACCACCTCAAATAACCTTGTTACCAACACATACCATATGGTAAAATACTTTTAAGAACAAAAAAGCAATCCATACCAACCCATACCATATGGTACAGACTTTTAAGAACAAAATAACCATGATACAGAATGATAATAATAATAATAATCATACAAACTCACAAAGACAATAATAAACAACAAACTAGAAAACATACCTAGTGGCCGAAACTCTTTGTTAGTTCGGTAAGTAGTATCAAAACTAATTGAATCACCAAAATAATGATAATCCATCCTCATCTTCCCATCTGCCCAAAAAATACTAGCAATGTTCTCTTCAACATCAACCTCCACCTCATGAAAGAACCCAGGATCCAGCTGTGCTTCACGTCTAAAGTATTCAAGCAATGCAGTCGCATCACCATACTCCATTGATAACGTCCTCACTTTTCTCAGATGGTTCTTCAAATCATTCTTTGTGAACCCAACAAACTTCAGACCACCACCAGCCCTACTAATTGCATTATACGAAGAAGTCACACCAATACCAGCAGCATCATTCACCACAAGCTATACATGATAACATCAAGTTACCATATTTTACCACATGGTATGACATGGTAAAATAAATTATCACACATAACCCCACCTTTAACTTGAAACTACCACACTATACCACATGGTAATGCATGGTAAAATCAAATTACGACACTATACCGATGATTCCAAACATGGTACAAGTAATTACCACCATGGTATGATATGGTAAAACTTAAATACAGAGCACAATAACATCACAACACAACACTATAGTATCACCTCTCATCGTATACCAGTAATTACCACCATGGTACCATATGGTATCTAACACATTCAAACTTCAATAAACAAACAAATTTGTATATCTTACCTCCTGATTCACCAGAGTTAGCTGAATGACCAAATCCAAGATCGATAGATGAAGAAGCAGTTCCATCAACGCTAGACGAAGAACCAGATCCTACAACGTTGGTTGAAGAACCAGATCTATCAAATGGAACAACATCGCCAAAATTTACGTAACTCATCTCACCAAAATACTGCAAAAACACCAAAACACAAAGAACATAACACATGAACAAGCTCGATTAGCTAAACAGAACACACAAAGAAACTCAGAGAAAGTAAATTCTACAAAACCTACAACGAAACCAGAGAAACTCAAACACGCTCGATTAGCTAAACATGAACAAGCTCGACTAGAAGCAATGAACAACCTCCAACGAAACCAGAGATCAACAGAAAACTCGATTAGCTAAACAGGAAGAATAAAAAAAACTAATATCTAACCTCGTCGTCGATCAATTATGGAGAATCAGAAAGCTCGATTCGATTAGCTGCTGCTCGCAGTTTCTATCGCCGTCGATCAATTATGGAGAATCAGAAAAGATTCGCCGTCCCCTGTTTCTCAGCGGCTGCTCGCAGTTTCTCTCTCCAAAAACCGAATCCAACTCGCGCACACGTCGATCAATTATGGGGAATCAGAAAGCTCGATTCGATTATGGAGAATCGCCGTCCCCTGTTTCTCAGCTGCTGCTCGTAGTTTCTCTCTCCAAAAACCGAATCCAACTCGCGCACAGAAAGATTCGCAACGGACAAAAGGGGGAAGTCATTAATTCAAAAATCGGACAAAAATGCCCCTGACCATCACCGCATCAACGATCAGCCCGGCCCAGATCTACGGTCCTAAGGTGGTTATTCACGGGTGAGTAACAAAGGGTTACTCACCCTATCCTAAGCCCCGTCGGGCAGGCCCGACGAACTTCTCGAGTCTCCTGTACAACTCTTTGGTCGCTTAGTTTTAGCCGGCCCTACGTCTCTGTGGAATTGCTCCAGCGCTATGAAAAAGCGTGTTGTAGTTGAAAGGATCACGGAAAAGCTGAGTGATTTGTTTCCTATCGCAGCATCGCCAATTTGCTTGCTGGGTTATATATTAACATTGGCTTGCTTGCGGTGTTTAATGGTTGGCCCTGTGCTTCCTCTTAGTCTCAGGTAGCAGAATATATTGGAGAGGTCACGAGTGCAGGACGTGATCCTCTCCCGCACGTGTTGTGCGTGTATGGCTGCATGGGCATGTTTGTCTTTTGCCCTTTATTTTTGTGCCCTAGTTGTTAGATGATGGGCTTTGATTTGTAGGGTATATATATGTAGCTTTCTCCTTCAGAAAGCAAGAACATACGTACAACATAATACAAACCCTAAAACCCCTGAGGACGGGTTAGTTTCTCCGTGGATTAGCGACGCTCACATCGAGTGGCGTGAACCACGTAAATCCTTGTGTCGTGTTGTTCGTGTTACGAATTTATCATGGTATCAGAGCTGTAGATTCAACACTTTCTTCCGCATACTAGCGACGCTCATCCCGCTGGTCCGATTCTTCTTGTCTCAGCGACGTTCATTCCGCTGAAATTTTTTTTTTTTATCAATGGACACCAAGGAAGAAGAGAGTTTCGGCAGCAGTGCAATGGTAACCAGTGGTGAAAAGCCTCTTACTTCTGATGTTAATTCCATATATTTCCTTCCACAGTCGGATCCACAGCATGTTGGGGATCTTCTAACTCCTAGCAACTGTGGGGAATGGGTCATCGATATGACGGACTCCCTTCTAGCGAAAAATAAATTGGGGTTTGTCAATGGAACCCTCATGAAACCGACCACAGCTCGGGAAGCTGATGCTTGGACTCGGTGCGATGCCACCATAAAAGGATGGCTCAAGGCGGCTATGTCTCCAGAGGTACGCCGCAGTGTTCGTTTTGCAAAAACGGCGAAGCAGATTTGGGATGATCTCAAGTCCGGTCTCGGTCAAGGTAGTGCTCCGAGACAATACGAGATTCGAAGATCGATCAGCCTTCTCCCTCAAGAAAGGTTGAGCGTGTCCGCCTATTACACAGAGCTATGCACATTGTGGGAGGAGGCCCAACAGATTTCCCCTACGCCTACCTGCACGTGTGGACAATGCACTTGCAATCTGGAAAAGCGAACGCGCGACCGTGATGAGAGCATTCGCTTGTTTGACTTCTTGATGGGCTTGGACGATGCTTTTTCGACCGTAAAATCCCAAATACTCTCCATGAAGCCGACTCCTGCTATTGGCGAGGCTTACAATATGATAGCCACGGATGAGCAACAGAAGCGGATATCCACAAATCGGAAACCTCGAGCAGAAGCGGCAGCTTTCGTTGCGGTTCAGGAGAACAATGGTAAAGAACACCATGATGGGGACACCGGTGGTGACCCAGAGACACGTCCCCGATGCTCTCATTGCCGCAAGCTCGGCCATACAAAGGAACGGTGCTTTGAGTTGCTTGGTTACCCTTCCTGGTATACTGATCGAGGCGGCAACAAAGGGAATGGTGCTGGCCGTGGACGTCGCCCGAAGAATCGCGGGCGAGGAGGCGCTCCTAAGGCAGCTGCGGTTGGGACGGATGAAAGCCCCATCCCTGGCATCACTAAAGCGCAGGTCGAGCAGCTGCGTCAATTTCTTGGCACCGACCCCAAGGCCTCGAGTGACACTAAAGCTACAGGTAATTCTCTCAACTTGGGCAACTCATGGATTCTCGACTCGGGTTGCAACGAGCACATAGTCAAGGATGTATGTAGTTTGGATGATCAGTCTATGGAAATGAACTTGCATGTTAATGTGCCCAATGGAGCTTCTGTTGCTGTGCAAAGTATAGGCTCAGTTAAGCTTTCCAATGGGATGGTTCTGCCACGAGTGCTCTTAGTTCCGGATTTTAAATGCAACCTGCTATCCATCAGTCGTCTCACTGCAGATTTTCC